GGCCTTCAATACCGTAAAGGCCTTGAGCTGGCCCTGAAGGGCATCTCCGTTCACATCCAGGAGCGGGAGAAGGTCCATACATATTCCACCTCAGCATTTACATTTAAAATATTATTGCTATCTATTTTTGATTTAGGCTGTAGACCATTTTTCAAGATGTAAACAACACTGGTCCGGAAGCACTTCCTGTTTTAGTTTTTTAACACTACATAAAAGCTGGGATAAAATACAACCGACAGAACATATAAAACTGAATCAAAAAGTTAGACAAACATCTTTAAGATATTTTCTTTACATGTGAAATAAAGAAAACAGTTACAAACTGAAACAGGAAGTGTTTCTGGACCAGTGTTGTTTACATCTTGCAAAATGGTCTATACCTTGCCTCATTCTGAGCAAGGCTAGATTTCTCTACACCTTGAGGAAATAGTCCACCCCAAATATAACCATTTTAATGTTCTAACTAGGATGGTAAAAGTTGAAAGTATATTTCTGCAATTAAACTTGACAAACATTTGATGGGATTTCTACAAAGTGTTCCTGATGATACCTTGTTATATTGAAAACAAATCCCACAGTCTCATTCTTTGTTTTCATTTTATCCTTTTTAGATTGGTATTGTGGGAAGAACTGGTGCAGGAAAATCATCTTTGGCTCTTGGAATTTTCCGGATCTTGGAAGCAGCAAGAGGAAAGATCTACATCGATGGAATCGATATTGCAGAGATCGGGCTTCACGATCTGAGATCCCGCATCACCATCATTCCACAAGTGTGTATAACTAAGACACTCTAGCTAATGGAACCAAAATATTTTGCTGTATTTCAAATTATTATGAACTGACAAATCTGTTTTTAATATCTTTCCAGGACCCAGTGCTGTTCTCTGGATCTCTCCGTATGAACCTGGACCCCTTCGATGCCTATTCTGATGAGGAGGTGTGGAACGCCCTGGAATTGGCGCACCTTAAACACTTTGTGTCTGAACTTCCAGATAAACTCAATCATGAGTGTTCAGAAGGAGGGGAAAACCTCAGGTATGTGCATCCAATAGTGCTATTCTTTTACCATTTAAAGCTACACTGTGTGATTTTTACCCCCATCTAGTGGTGAAAAGGTATATGACCATTCAGTGAATATTAGTTTCTGTTCCCCCCAAAATTACGATTTCGTTTTAACACCTAGGTGGCCAATGTAGTCCAAGATTAACATGGCTTCCAGTTCGACCTCGTCCATGAGTGTTAACTCAAACGTAATCGTGAAAGGCGAAGCTTGAATTAACGGGTATGTCCCTCTTTGGCTAATGTACTTTCAAGATGGAGGGGCAACATGGCGACCGACATTAGAACCCCGCCCTTACCCGTATGTATTTTCAATGGCGTGTTATACACTCACGAGAATACTTTTATTACTTGAACGAAGTAAATATACATTAATGAGCACATATATTTTTGAAAGAACTTAGTGTTTTTAGCTAAGAATAAACTAAAAAAGTTACACAGTGTAGCTTTAAATGAATGCTTTTGAAATTTCTTTATACCATGATAACCAATGGCTTGCAAAAGAGACTTTCGATTAACAATGGCGAATGTTTGTCTTCCTGCAGTCTTGGCCAGAGGCAGCTGGTATGTCTAGCAAGAGCTCTTCTTCGAAAGACAAAGATTCTGGTGCTGGACGAGGCTACAGCTGCATTGGACCTGGAGACCGACACCCTGATCCAGTATACCATCCGCAGCCAGTTTGAGGATTGTGCTGTTCTTACCATAGCACACCGCCTCAATACCATTATGGATTACACAAAGTATGTCATGATACACTAATCATTAAACAGTGGTTCCTAAACTTTTCAGACCACACAGCTATATCTCAATCTTCAGTGTATCAGGAAATAGCTTAAAAAGCTGACGTGTAATACTTTCTCACATCCCGTTTTAATATACTGTACAACTGTAACTGAGGCCCTGCAGATGTTGCTTCGGGTTCAGTTGGTCACGTGAATTTGCTGAGTTGACTAACAGAATGATGCTTGGTGTGGTGTGCAACTAACTTTTGTGTGAGCTGTGCTTCATTGCTGTGCAATTGACAATAGACAATGGGCCTTTATGACCATGACATTTTGCTAATGTAACCGCACCTTAAAGGGGTAGTTCACCCCAATATTCTGTCATAAATTACTCACCTTCATGTCGTTGCAAACCTGTAAGACTTTCGTTCATCTTCGTGAACACAAATGAAGATCTTTTTGATGAAATCTGAGAGATTTTTGTCCCTCGATTGGAATTTAGCAGCTACACAACTGACACATTGACACTTCAAAAGTGCATAAAGAGATAGAGATTGTAAAACTAGTCCACATAAATTGAACTGTTTAGTCCCAATTTTCTGAAGAGACATGATCACTTTATATGATTAACAGATTAAATTTAGGCTTTTAAACATTCATCAATTCACACACATCATTTGTGTTAAACAGAAGCTCAAGGACCTGCAAGAACCAATGAGGTTCATTCTCATGTGTTACGCAGCATGTTTGAGCTTCAGCAAGAACCAATTAGGTTATTCTCTTGTTACTCAGCATGTTTATCAAAAAAAGATCAATTTTACGTGTCTTTATGAAATTTTTGAAGCGTCAAAGTGTCAGTTGCGTAGCTGTCTATGCAGGGACAGAAAGCATCAAAAGGATCTTCATTTGTGTTCAAAGATGAACGAAACGAAAGTCTTAAGAGTTTGGAATGACTTGATAGTGAGTAATCAATGACAGAATATTAAAGGGTTAGTTCACCCAAAAATGTCAATTCTGTCAGTATTTACTCACCCTCATGTTGTTCCAACCCCGTAAGACCTTCGTTCATCTTCGGAACACAAATTAAGATATTTAAGATATTAAGATCACTCCTGCATGCTAGTCCATAGGCTTCTTGAGGGAATGAGTTGCTGTCCTCGAAAAGTCATTAAAGGACATCGTTAAAATAGTCCAAGTGACTACAGGGGCTCAATCTTAAGTTTATCAAACGACGAGAACACATTTGTGCGCAAAAAAACAAAAAACAAAAATAACGACTTTATTTCAACTATTCGTTTATTTCTCCCTCTGCGCGAGTCAGGTTACTAGTTTAAAAGCCTAAGCTTCTGTTATTGTACCTCACACGCATCACACACATGACCAGCGTCGGCCTCTACGCAATCACACTACGTTAACTGACTACAGGCACATGGAGAAAGAAGTGAATAGTTGAAATAAAGTCGAAACACAAAAAGTATTCTCGTCGTTTGATAAAGTTAAAATTGAGCCACTGTAGTCACTTGGACTATTTTAACGAGGTCTTTAATGACTTTTCGATGCCAGCAAGAGTCATTCCCTCAAGAAGCCTATGAACTAGTATGCAGGAGCGATCTTAATATCTTAAATATCTTAATTTGTGTTCCGAAGATGAACGAAGGTCTTACGGGGTTGGAACAACATAAGGGTGAGTAAATACTGACAGAATTTTCATTTTTGGGTGAACTAAACCTTTAATGTTTGGGTGAACTCTTTAATGGGAGACGTGTTATTTACAAGTTAGTTATGGTAATTTGTTTGGTGCCATACTCAGCGTAGAAATGGCATAACGTTACTACAAATAAAAAAAAGGCACGGACTAAATAATAAAAAGGTGAATTAGCTGCTTACCTTCATTATGAATTGGATGCATCACATTTCACACACTAATTATTATTATTTTCATTTTACTCAATTCTAATGCACACAAAAGCTTGCGTAATTTAAATATTGGTGGTCTTCACAAATGTTTATTATTGCTCAGATATATGTAATGTGATGTTTCATCATCAATACTAACGCTGCAATTTTTTTTCCTCAGGGTTATTGTTATGGATAAAGGACATATCGTGGAGATGGATTCTCCAAATAACCTTATTGCAAAGAGAGGCCAGTTTTACTACATGTGCCGAGAAGCTGGACTCTTATAAGGCATCCACTGTCTTCTCGCGCCCTCTTGTGGTGAAAGCAGAGAACCTGCACTCTGTTTCCCAGTTCTCAGTGCAGAACAGAGACATCCCAACATCACAACTGGTTCTTTAAGAGGGAAAAAGACCAGACACTTGAATTACACTTTTCTCCACAAATGAAAATGGTTTGCTTGATCAATCTGAACTAAGCTAAGACGTGTTTACTCAGGTTTACTGCCATCTCCATGAGCATAGTAATTCCATGAAAGTCTTAAGAGGAATGAGGGAAAAGCCTTTGCATTCCGCCAGAAGATAAACATTGGCATTTAGTGTTCAGTGGAAATGTGTAGCTGATGGAAACCTGTAAATGTTGCACATAATTAAACAGACACATAACAATTAGGGAGGAAACGGTGTGTGTTCTGTCTATGCCATAGTCATACCATGGTGAAAGAACGTGAATGTGAATAGCTAATTTGCTAAAGTTGTTTTAAAGTTAATTTTGGTTTTATAACAAATCAATGAAGACAATTCTATAAGCTCTAGTGGTTTCATAGTTCTCTTCATAGACAGTTATGTGAAAAATCATGTAAGATATGTTTACAAACATATTGCCACATATACTTGACCTGAAATTCCCTGAAAAAGTCCAGACTCGTTTTCAGACACCAATTAAAGCTTTTAAGAGAGGATTTGGGGAGAAAAACAGTACAGTCGCCCAAGTAGGATGTGGTGTTGTTTTTTCTTTTTCTCTCAGCCAAAGTAAACAAACAAAATGGACAATAATGGCTGGATGAGAGAAAGCATTCAATCTGTACACAGTAAGAGTAATATTAACTGCCGACTGCTTATTTTAGAATATCTCAAGAAAATATTGTTCACTACCATTCTGAAAGCAAGAGTTTTTTTATTTAGCAGTTTTGAAAAATCCCAAATCGTTTTACAAGTATTGTTCTCTGTAACTGTAGATTTTTAGAAATATATTTTTATCTTAAAAGTGGATATGAACGACACTGCATCTCATCTTGTAAGACAATGCAACAAGCTACATGTGTGACAAACAAAGTGCCGTTGTGACACTCCAGAATTTATTTATATTTTATATTTAATCTTTGACACTTCATCTCATGTTTTATATGTTTATACATGTAATAAGTGTGTATAAAGAGACTTCTGACATATTGCTAAAGGATGCATCATTGTGCTTTTCTACAATGCTTTGTATTTGAAAAGACATGCTGTTAAACAATTACTCTGTGGACATGGAAAAAGCCTCAGCAAAAAAAAAAAAAAAAGTACCAAACTATATTTATTGTTTACAGTAGTAAAGGACAAAAAAAATGTACATGTCAATACAGAAGGATACCAACGTCGACCCTTAAAACCCTCTCTCCCTTTCAGCCGTATGAATTACAGTGGGAGGGCTAGAGATGTTAAAATAGATCAGACCAGTCCTTGTGAGCGATGATAGATACACCTCTGCAACAAAGCCTGAAAGGATTCCCTTTTGATTTGATTCAAGACCTGGTTGTAGATTTGGGATTTAAAAAAAGTGGGGAAAGAAAAAAAAAAAAGTAAAGGAAAAAGAGATGTATTGGTCCATTTAAGTCATTCCACTCTCCTCAACCAACATTTACGAGGAAATGGAAATTTTTAAATGGATAGATTTCTACAGACATTTAAAAGTATAAACTTAGAACTAGTTGGTGTAATCCTGCCTTTATCAGCTAATCGAGTACCATTCTTTGGGGTTTGGTCCAGAAAGGGTCACTGTAAATTGTGTCACGTATTCCATCTCTTCATTTATAAACGACCAACAAGATGATCCATAGATCCCGCCCCCTACCGTGAGCTCATACGAGAAGCGGCCCCATTAAAAAGGCAAATGAATACTACACTGGTCGAACATATTTCTACAACACACAGGCAAATACAATCCGAGTTGAAACAGGCCTACTTAAAGCTCTTAAGAATTGAAAGACGAAGAAAAGAAAACAAAACCTACGCTTCTTCACTTTTAATAGGGCGAATACACTATGGAGCGGTTCCCTGCTGTGATCGGTCAGGGGGTTTGTCGAGTGAATCTGCGTTCTGAGCAACATAAAACCCTGCAGAAGTGGCTAGAGGGACCTGTGGACGATTGGAAGAACTGCGCCCTCTGGCAGCCTTCTCGAGCTTGCTCCCCCCACCACAGTAGCTGTCTAACCATTGCGTATATAAATACTGGAAAAACGTTTGTGATGCCGCACTCTAGGAAAGCTAGAGATGGCAGAAGAGAGACAAAGAGAGAAAGAGAAGGGGAAACAATGTGAAAGCATCTGAATGAAACATCATGAGGAATAAAATAGATAAGCGTGGGGTCCGGGTGGTGTGGAGTTTTAGCAGGAGCCGCCAGTTTGTTGCTGAAATACGTCGATCGTGTCCTCGTCCTCCATCTCCAACTAACAGGCAAACGAGAGAAAAAATTAAGTGACTAAGGTATGAAAACACTGTATGGCTTGTCACCTGTTCATTTTGGTTGTGTATGTATGATATGCGATATATATATATATAAATCAGTGGTTCTCAAAGTGGGGTCCGCGGACCCCTGGTGGTCCGCGAGCTAAAGCCAGGGGGTCCGCGAAATAATTTACAACCTAACGTTTTTTTCCATGCTATGAGTTTTCTTTATCATCTGAAAACATGCTGTTTATTCCTAAGTAACTTATATAAAGCATTTAACATAAAACAATACAAAGTAGACACTTAAAGTTTTCTATAGATAGATAATCTATGTCTTTGCGTCAAGTAGACTATTCGCTGCTGTTGATTTTGCGGGACGTGCGCCAGAAAGGAGACAGAGAGACGGCATGAACCCGCATCCGGTTCTTTTCTGTATTTTTAAAAGGCATGACATTTTGTAGTCATTTATAATGTAGCCTATACACAAATAAAAAAATGGACACTTTACCGTTTCGGATGATGCACTCTTGTCTTATCTATGACCATAAATAAGAGTATTCCTGTTTCCACTGCTGAGGAAAAATTCCCATGTAATTGCGCCCCGGCGTCTCGCGTGCGCGCACAATAGTCTGCTACTGTAGATTTGACATTAGAAGTCTGATCATTATCAAAATAAAAGTGCATAGTGACAGGGCCGTACCCACAATTGAGGTTGCAAGGATGCACATCGCGATGATAACTGACCTTCTCGTCTGAGGTGCTTCAGCAGACTAACAACGATAGCTCGTCAATGTCAAAATGTTTGAGTCGGAGTGAACTCAAAGTTCCCCGCACGACGTTTCAGTCAACGGTCATAAAGTGCGAGATAAGATGTAGGCCTAAATTAACATAAACTAAACGGCTGTTTTAGATAAAAGTTTTAAAAAACGACTGAAACAATCAGTTTGCAAAGTATTAATCAAGCTCAACTTTAACAAAGGAAAAAGCAGGTCAATAGAAACATACTGTGCCCATGAGATTAACATTATGGATTCATATATTTAACATATACTGTATGTTTTTTTTTTAGCTAATTACAGTAGCTCAAATTAACAACGCACGCACCTATTAAACATAATGCCATTATCATTGTATTTATAGGCTTATGGGCTTTATTTGTGTGCAGAATAGGCCTAATTATTGAAACATTTCTCTTTTAAGGCCATTCCTGATTGGAATATGTGATTGTGTTTCGTGACATCTTGACAAAAAAAAAAAAAAAAAAAAAAAAAATGTATGCCACTGACTGACATGCTTCTACTAAATCTATAGTTATCCAATTGTGGGGCCTTAAAACACCTTAAAATGCACATGTGTAGATCAAGAACATCAAAAAATCCTAAGTGAGGGATCCTAACTAAGTGATTCCTAGCAAGATCACTTTCGTTACCTCAGTAGGCTATTTAGAAATTCCTGCATAGTACCCTGGGTGGAGACCATTCATTTTGTGCAAAAAATATTTCATTTGCCGCTCACACATTAACTTTGTGCTCAATAACTGTTATAAATATGAGGAGGGTCCTTGGAATTTTTTTTCCCCTGAAAGGGGTCCCTGGCACCAAAATGTTTGAGAACCCCTGATATAAATAAATGAATGAATGTGCACACTCATACACATTCCATCATCTGATCACATTTTGATAACATATACAAGGGAGTATGATCATGGATTTCCAGTGTTAATATTGTTTAATAAAACTAGTAAAGGAGTAGTTCACTTTTTTTTAAAAAAGCCTTTGCTCACCATCCAAGATGTCCATGTATTTCTTTCTTTAGTCGAAAAGAAATTAAGATTTTTGGTGAAAACATTCCAGGATTTTCTCCATATAATGCACTTTACTGGTAACCAAACGGTTCAAGGTCTATAAGACAGTTTCAGCGCAAACTGCAAACTGTTCAAAGGGCTTTAAACGATTCCAGACGATGAATAAGGGTCTTTTCAAGCGAAACGATCAGTCATTTAAAAAATAACAAAGTTTAAGTTTATAAGCTCAAATGCTCGCCTTGCTCTTTTCTGTGATGTGCGTTCGTGACTCTTCTGTTCAAACTGGTTTATCAAAATGAACGAATCTTTTTTCGTGTCATTTGGTTCATTCAACGAACAAAACTAACAAATTGACTCGGAAAAAGATTGGCTCATTTTGATGAACGATTTCGAACAGTAGAGTCACGAACGTGAATGACAGAACAGAGCAAGGCGACCATTTGAGGTTATAAAACTTAAACTTTGTTCTTTTTTAAAAAAAATTATCGATCGTGTCGCTTGATAAGACCCTTATTCATCGTCTGGAATCGTTTAAAGCCCTTTGAACAGTTTGCACAGAAACGGTCTTTTGGACCTTGAACTGTTTGGTTACCAGTAAAGTGAATTATATGGAGAAAAATCCTGGAATATTTTCATCAAAAACCTTAATTTCTTTTCGACTAAAGATTGAAAGACATGGACATCTTGCATGACATGGGGGTGAGTAAATTATCAGCCAAGTTTTTTTTAAAAAGTGAACAACTCCTTTAAACAATTTTTGTTAATTGAAACAAACTAAAGTAGTAAAATGTAAACAGATGAAAAACTTATTTCAGTTAGCTGACAATGCAACAGTTCTAGTTTTCATTGAAGTACTAAAATGGAAATAAAAATAAAATACAGCTAAAAAGAAACAAATAAAAAAGACAAATTAGAAAAAAACTAAAATTAAAACTCAAAATATAAAACTAAAAGCTCAATCAAAATATTAAAATAAATACTGTATTAGTACATAAACAATACTAAAGATAACACTGGGGATTTGATGGCAATAAAAAGGGGCACTTTCACTCACCTGTGCCGGTGTGTCTGTCTCATTAATTGGTTGCCCGTCAAATCTAAATCTAATCTGTCTTATTGACAAACCCTGAAAGAAAGCAATGTTTACAGTTTTACAATAACAGTCAAGAATGTGATATTACAGGTTTTAATCATTTTGTTCAACCATCATGTTCAACCTATAGTGATTTAGATATGTTTTGTATTGTAATTTCTCTGGTATTCAATTGATTTGTTCCAAAACCACACTGACAGTAACGGCGAGACTCACAGCAACAACATGTATTTGATTATTTAACTTGTTGTAATTTCAGGAAGAGCCTTACCTGTCTCTCACAGTATGCTTTCATTAATTTGCTGAGTGGCGTATGCCTTTTAATTTTGAACTGGACCACTGACCCATCCTGCCCGGCCACCTTCAGATTGATGTGGTCATTCTCTGTTTTCACTCCCTCCTGAAACAATAATAAAGTGCATATATGATGTTTGGTGAGATCAAGTGTACACATTTAACTTAAGATGCATGAAACAATCTTTTTTTTTTAAATAAGCTACCCTCCTATGGCACATGGAAGTATGGTAGGAGGCCTATGGAACATCTTTTTACAAAGACGACAACTATAAGTACTGAACAACAAGGCCGAGTGGAAGTTTTTCAGAACTAAGTGAATTGATAAAAATCGAATTATAACAACGTTCAGTACACCACGGCCACCTCTTTAACAATAACAGCAGTGAACAGAGCAAGGCGAACAATCCATAGAAAAAGACATGCAAATGTAGGACCAGCTAGTTAGCTTTCTAGTCAAACATTGTTGCGGCTCTGTGCGCCATTTTTAAGCATCTGGCGCAGCGAGGTGCAGCTCAGAACTCCATATCCGTAAGCGAAAGATTACTCAAATGAAAGTTTGGAGGTGTATACTTTTGATTAACTTGGAATATACACTTTATCCGTTTATTTACCATCTAAATGGCGGACGAACATCGTGCACTACGACGCTCTTTTACATCCCGTAACGCTGTTACTTGCGGCATTTCCTTACGCCAGTGGCGTAACGTGGCCGGTGAGCGCCACTTCGCGCTCACAAAGAAAAACCCGCAAACGCTGAATTACACCGGGGCGAATGCGCGGTAAGTACAAATTAATCGCGTACTTTGAATGAGCATCTGCTTAGCGGACGGTTGTAAACATGTAGTGGTGAAAACAGAAGCCTATAAAATAAAAACCGATGGCATTTGTATGAAAACAAGACAATGATTGCGTGCCGACCGCCTTTCTCCCGCACAAATGCGCAATCTCACTATCACAGCAAGGTTGTATAAAATGTAATTGGAACTCGGCATCATCCGTTTTCAACAAAGCTTAAAAACACGGTCAATTTACAAATCTGAGGCTCACCTTTGGCTTGTCTTCGGACATTTTGCAGGTGTCTGTTGGGTCTGAATTATGGAAATATACTGAACACAAGATGCGCTCTCCACACAGTAGAGCAACACAGCTGCCGGCGGGAACGCGCTTTCCTTTACCTACTTTATCAACGATTGGTTGGTGCCTGGTCACATGACGTCCCTCTCATTCGCGGGAGCGAGCAAAGCTCCCCGCGAATTTCTAGAGATAAGCAGGCCCGAGCCCATCGAGCTCGTAACCGGCCTGCTTCCAGGAGCGAGCAAGATCCGCAAGCCTAATGGATCAGTTCATTTTATTTAAAATGTACATACATAACGCATTAACCAGAGGTAAAATATATTTCCTCATTTGTACACAATGATGCTCTGTGTTTCTTGGCCCAGTTCTGTTTGTGTTGTGTGGTGGATAAGGAAGCTGTCATTTTTGGCGTCTGATCAAATAATCCCATTGCAAGTATTGAAGAGAAAACAGAGAGATTGATAGCAAGTGCATTTTGATATTACACAATCATTTTCTGGTCACGTGTCGAAATGTTGGCTCGACCTAATTGCCCTTGTACTTTGTGTATACATGTTTTATTAGTATGCAGTCAGAAACGTAATATTATGCTGAATCCATCCCAGAAAACATTTTTACACAATTTTTGGTTGTGTATGCATCATTCTCAACCTTCAAATCTGTCACCAAGAATAGATTTGTTAATAACTACAAACTTAACACCCCAGGCCCCTACTAAGAGATATTTGAAGCCCATTTATGTGTAGTTTTTTAAATTCCAATTTTTTTTTAAATCTATTTTATTTTTATAGATTTTGTCAAATTGTATTGACTATGATGTGAATTTATTGTGGATTAATTAAAACTGTTATGTTAGAACTATAGACATTTGTTTTGGTAAAGGGTTTGCAGACCCCATAGAAAGTGAATTAATAGTTCATATCAAAATGTACCATTTGTTCAAAAAAAAAAAAAAATCCTATTAGATTTAAGGCAAAATAGCCAAGCAACTTTAAATATTTATTCATTATTTTATTCAATAAATCAATACATTACATCAGCAGACATTTATCAAGTCTATTAGGCTACGCAGAATAGAGTTCATTTGACTTCATATTATATTGAGGTACATGTACAAAGAATAGCTTAGGTTTCAGAGAATCCTTTACAGAGTAAATTTGTTATTATACTTTCATATTATGATGGGCAGTTTTTTAACAGTCACTGAACAGCCTAATCAGTATGAGAATGATATGATATGCAAAGTCCTGACCCTATCAATGCTTATGCAATGTGTTCTGTGTCAGCATTTTGATCTAACAGAATCTGACAAGAACAGAAATGAACAAATGAACATTTATACTTGTAAAATAATACTTAAAAGACTGTTTTAATAAATGAGTGGAAAACACAATTTTTAACATTATATATAACAGGAGATTAAAAAGGCATAGCCTTTGTGGAAAATTGTGCCAAATAAAATAAATGAACATAAATGGACTTAGGTTGAATTCATCATTTTGAGCACAGTGGAATCTCATTCTTCCATTGATCCATTTTAATAATGTTGGCATAGACAGCAGATTGTCAAAATGTTCATCTATATAATAATGCACCCATCATTTTAGTTGGGGTTTTCAAATCTGGCATAAGGACTTGCCCTGCTGAGACCTGATACAGAGAGACAGAAAGAAATAAAAAAGATAAAATTACATATATTAATCAAATATACAGCAACATATTTATTCTCAATGTTTGCCAATGTTAAATATTATTATAAAACATAAATATTAATTCAATGTACACATATAAATTTGTTTACTGCAGAAACACAAGAGGTCAAATTGCATTATCACCACTAGAGGGAGCACAACTTCATAAAAACATGAATATTTGACTAGTCATAACAAATACAATATATTTTAAAAAACATGCAGCTAAACCTATTTTTAAAACACTGTCATATGCTGCTTATATTTACAATGATTGACAGTTTTGATTTTATTTTTCATGCACTGCCAGCATAACAACCTGTTCAAATTCACTTATTGATGCAGTTTCTGAGATGAGGGAATTGTTGACTCACCATATTTTTGACGGATCTCATCGTGTCTAATCTTCATCTCAGTTTTTCTGTGGCAGAAAAACACAAGAACATTCCTTGTGAAATCACACACACACACACACACACACACACACACACCCTAAAGGTATGTTGACAATCAGAGATGTTACAGCTGTAAAACAGGTTTCTCATAGGGCATCCTTTGTCACATCTAAGTTCCTCATAACATTATCTTTTGTCTGCCATTACAAATCCAAGGTTGGTACACTACCCATAATGAATCTGTGTGTGCATATCAGCTCTGGAAATAAAATAAGCAGTTTCTCTGGATTTATACTGTATGTATATGAGTTGTATGTATGTGAAAAACATATATATATATATTATAAACTACTGACAACATTTCTTCCATATTTCAAGTAAAAACATTGTCATTTAGATAATTTATTTGCAGAAAATGATTACTGGTCAAAATAAAACAAAAAGATGCCATGTTTCCAGACCAGTTAATGCAAAGAGTACATGTTTATAAAAGAAATAGTTCATAAATAGTAAATCCAGTGAAACTGCACATATTGCAGTGGTCTCTGTATATGCATGGATATAGACAGCAGAAATTAGAAAATTATACTTAATGAAAATATACATTTTTCACCTTTAAACTGGTTTTATATAATATCTTGAATTTCCTAATGTAATCTCTACTTTGAATATTAAAATTTGAATCTCTTACCTCTCCTCTTGTTTCGTTTTCGTCTTGTCTAACTTCCTGTTCATCTTGTTATCAAATCGACCAGATCTGTAAAACACACATTGTCCCACTTTGAGAAAGCTAAGTTGTTGAGCCATATTTATATGATCCAGAGGATCTTAGTTCTATTTTACCATTTCACAGAGATGCATATCAATATTCTCATTTATGCTAGTATGTGTAATTACAGCCTGAGGCAGGTGACATCATCTCCCCATAGTATTTTAAGACAACAAAATGGAGGGTGCGACTCGTTTGTCAGTCAACTATGTGATAAAAGGCCATGTGACATACAATAGGTCAAACACATTTCGTATATTCAGACTTACCCAGCATTCTCACACTTGCAGCAACAGAATAAACACACCATAAAACCAATGATGAAGAGCGCTGCAGCCACTGACAACGTAATGATCAAAATCTGGAAGTTTACTGAATTTCACAAAAAAAAAAGAAAGTCAAAGAAAGTGTCAAAATATCATGGCAAGAACATGTTATTATGGTAACTAGTTGTGATAAATTAGTCATTTGGGCTAGAGAAAGGACTATAGTCCTCCTGATATTGTTTGTTTGTGACTGCTACTATTTTTAATTATGTTTAAGTGCCTGATTACCAATATGCATAAGCGTTTTTAATTGTTTTTTTTCTTCAGTTTTCTGACACAAAATTATTAGACATCAATAAAAACACATGAATTAAAATATATTAAGAATAATAATTCTAGATGTAACAATACTGAAATTCTGCTAATGATAAATATTATAAATCCATACCAAAAATTATTTTTAACTTAAAGCTACACTGTGTAAGTTTATTCTTAGCTAAAAACACTTAGTTCTTTCAAAAATATATGTGCTCATTAATGTATATTTAGTTCGTTCAAGTAATAAAGTATTCTCGTGAGTGTATAATATGCCATTGAAAATACATACGGGTAAGGGGTTCTAATGTCGGTCGCCATGTTGCCCCTCCATCTTGAAAGTACATTAGCCAAAGAGGGACATACCCGTTAATTCAAGCTTCGCCTTTCGCGTTTACTTTTGAGTTAACACTCATGGACGAGGTCGAACATTAAGCCATGTTAATCTTGGACTACATTGGCCACCGTAGGAGTTAAAACGAAATCGGAATTGAGAGGAAACTAAACTAATATTCACTGGATGGTCATATACCTTTTCACCACTAGATGGGGGTAAAAATCACACAGTGTAGCTTTAAAACAAATGTAAGCTAAATTTAAGTATTAGACTTGTAAAAATGATTATCTGAATTAAAAAAAAATGTCTTGATTGCCCAAAGTTGTTATGTGATTTATATGGCCACACATTTATTTTCATCTACGTTTTGGGCAATTTCTAATTGATAAGATCCACGTTGCTCTACAATGTAAATTACACACTCACACCCCAAATGTTCTTATCTAGTTACTTAATAGAAACACACATTTAAAAAATAAAAGAAAAAATAACAGCTTCGTTTTCAACATGGGTGTGTGTAATTTAGGTTGTAAAGCAAAACATTCAAGTATAGTCAAGTTATGTTTACCACAGACCCCATTATGAAAACCCATAGGAAAATCTATGGGGTTTTTTGACGTCATCCCTGCACCACTCTATATTTCCGTATTTGAGCAGGTTTTTCAAGAAATAAAAATGAAAAAATTTCTTACTAGTGCAAAGGCCCCATCGAGCATCATTCAGTGGGCAGAGGGAATGCGGGGGCAGGATGGTTTTGGCTGGGTATGTTACACACTTTTTAGTTGGGATGCACCACAGACACTGAAAAAATAGATTGAAAACAAATATTATTACATGCATTCATCCTCTGTAGGTTCAAAGCTCAATATATTTTGTTCACTGAATTGAGGGTTGCAGATAGTCACAACAACAATGCTGCTGATGATGATGGCAATGACATCAGCATTGACGTTGATGGGAATGTTGATACTGATGGAACTGTGAGAAAAACAGCGGTGTGTGCGTGACTGAAGCCTATAAAGCTTTGAAAAGAGTGAAGCGTGACACTGAAGCGTGTCAAAGGTTTTTTGAATAAATATGGAATGTCAGAATCACATATCCTGACATCTATCGCTAAAAAAAGATACTAACAATTCAATCCAATGGATAACATTCTGGCAAGGTTCTCTCGAAGTTATGAACAAACGTTCTTCCAGTAACGTTAATAGATTAATAAAGGTTATCTGGTGTGCAATAATGTTCTCAAAACATTACCACAAAAGCATGATTTAGTCGGACATTTATCTAACATTTACTTCAGAGAACAATCAAAACTAATGGTCCCAAAATGT